TAAAATGATCTATGGAAAAGAGTTCTTTTATAAAATTTTGTATAATATTTGTTATATATTTTTCTTTTTTTTGACATTATTTTAAAATTCTTCTATTGTTTATCACAAGCAAAATATTCCAAACTTAATATTACATTAATGACATTTCAAGTTGCATCTAATGTTATTAAATACAATTTAATTTAAATTTTGTACTGGTTAATAATAAATTTGTTATATAATACTATTGTTCTATAACATAATCTGACAATTAAAATTTTAACTTCATTTATATATGCAGAACTTTTCTTAGGAATAATTGTATTTGTCATATAATTAAAAAAGGTTTTAAGTTAAGAATTAATATGTTCAATTCTATGTTCAAATTTAATTACAATTTAACATGCCCACAATGTTGTTGGTAATACATGTTTATATTATTATCTGGATGCTTGAAACAAATGTGAAATCAAAATTTTAAATCATATAAAAATTATCAAATTGAATGTTAACAAAAAATCCAATAAAACATAAAGTATCTATGTTATTATTTGTTCTACTAGTGCTTCTCATCTTCATAGATTTTGATAAAAAAGTATATTATTCTCATCCTTTTAACATTAATTAACTCCAATATTTTTTTTTTTTTATTAGAATTTGATTTTTTTTAGCTTATTGTCTCTGTTGTGCTTTATAATCTTACATTAATGTGATTAACAAATTTATTATCCAACTTTAAAGTTCCAGTGTTTATTACTCATGTCACTTACTATACACAAGTGGTATAATCACATGAAACTTAACATTTGTATGCATACATTAGTTATTGCACAAAGACCCCAGTTTTTGGTATTCATTAAAGTTTTTTTTTACACGTATTGTGATACCAGATATCATGACCGATCACGTGAAAAATACATGAAATGTAATAAGTTATATTTGTGACCAGAAATGGTATTTCGGATCCAGAAGGAAGGATGAGAGGAGAATTACACATCCTTAAAGATATTACATAGATCAGTATAAATAACATTTAGTAGCCTTAAAGTAATAATAAGTGCAAAGTCACATTTGTAAGCGACGAATTTAGTATTATAAATAAAGGCCGAAATGGCCCTAAGGGATGACATGTCTCGTTTGCTTGATCAATAAACAGGTCCCAATACATTGTATCGTCCATAGTAAAAACCCTAACACTATACCCGGCATAAATCCTGTAAACCTCAATAAACATCGTTGTCCGATCGAGTTCTTGTTCACGTGACTTACCCTACTTGCATTCGTTGACCCAAAGTAACCGAAAGCCTTAATCACCCACCAGCCAAATCTAACACCCTCTTTCGAAAAGGTTACCTATCGTACGTTACGCGAGATATTGAATTGTAGAGCGACAGAGTCGCAATCTTCCGAACCCAACAGTATGTAAATTTCTTTATATAGGTAGGGCGTCACCAGTTCCACGTGATCTAACATTTATCATATATATCATATCGATACGTACTAGGGGCTTCGATAATACTATCTCTTGAACCGTAAATTTTCACATACTACTATGTTTTATCATGCAATTTGTACGCTATACGGTTGATTAAATAATCCTATGATCATCAGATGTGATTAGCCAATAAAAAAGGACTTTCGTCATGCTCTAAACACGGCCATTTCATTTTTCGTTTTATTTATTAAACACTGTTTATTTCCGAAATACGCTACTTTTTTTATTCCGAAACCCTCAATTTTATAAATATTGTAAGTATACGTTGATTCGGAATTTTTATATAAACCCAGCATTTTGGGGTTGATTTTATTATATGTAAACTCTGACTCTAACCCTATTTTAATTAAGAAATTCCGAAACCACAGTACCATTCCCTTTTACGACATATACATTTAAGCTTCGAAACACAATTTAATACGTAAAAACTTTGGTATTTATTTGGTTTAAAATAAAAAATGACTTAAGTGAATTTTATTTACTCTAAAATTTTAACGATTATTCTTTTTTTATGTACATGTCTTTAGCTTTGTCAACTTTTTTTTTATTCATTATACAGAAGCAGCTTGAACTAGAATTTGTGTTCTATTACAGAATCGGGAATTATTTGCATTTAATTCTTTTCAGGTTATTTTCGTTCGAATGCAATTGTTTTTACCTTTCGCAATTTTCATTTCATTTCATTATACAAAGAATTTGTAATCGTAAGGTGTGCTCTCAAGCACCTAAATTAATAGATCGGTACTCAATTTTTAATTAGCGGAACATAATTTGGACGGTTAAATAAGCTTGTCATCGCAGTGAAAAAAAAGATCTGGAATGAAGTTTATGTTCTCATGAGAACACAATTATTAATTTAATGTTCTCAAAAAATAATTTTATGCTCTCAATACAAAAAATTTCTTTGCCATTTTTAAAATTTTCGGACATTTCGGTAGTTTATTCGAATTTTTTGTCCCAAACTTGCTCGTCTTTTATGTTCATTCATTTTCTTCCCGGAAATTTTCGGACTTTACTCATTTTCTAATTGCTAACTGCATTCAGTACTATGCTTATAAAGAACATATTTATCAAGCAATATGTTCTCAAAAATTTTTTTATAGAGAACATGTTTAAATTAACAAATGTTCTCAAACCCAAAAAGCATGTTCTCATGAGAACATGAGGACATCAGATTTCCAGCACTGGTCGAGACCACCTTTTTTTTATCATGGTGTATTTATTGGCTAAATTTAAGATCCACATTTCGCAATATGTACCTTCAGCAGAATTGCCGTAAAAATGAGCTCAATTAATTATGGTGTTTGTGCACGATTAAGGATGGCTCCGAAAGTATTTTGGCGTGCCGAAAGTCTTACCGAAAGTCGAAAGTCTTACCGAAAGTCGAAACCCTTACCGAAAGTCGAAAGTCTTACCAAAAGTCAAGACCAATCATATCTTGACACAGATATGTTTGGCCTTGACTTTCGGTAAGACTTTCGACTTTCGGTAGGACTTTCGACTTTCGAACATTTCGGTAAACCAAACCCTCTTCGAAAGTACTTTCGGTAGACTTTCGATTTCGGTAGGTACCGAAAGTACCTACTTTCGGAGCCATCCTTATGCATGATCTTGTTTACTAGGTGATCACATTTAGGGAGATGCTTAAGAGCACCCTAAGTATTTGTATTTTATGAAGATTATGAAATAATTTCCGTATAATACGGGTTATTGTGAGTTTTTCTATATCTTTTCCAAGTTTTCAATATTAAAACCGCCTTTACCTTCATTTTGGATCATTATTATTAGAAAGAATTCAAATATTTTAGAAATAAAGAATTTTTTATTAATTAAGAATTTACATTGATGTAATCGTGATATTCTAATTTGAAGATCGGAATTAACGCAATCTGTCTCAAGTTTTTTGTCCCAGATTCTCTATTTACAGTGACACATGTCAATTGATAATCAAAGTAAATTGGAAAATGAAGCGGAACATATATAACCGATTTAATCTATGATTGCTTATTATCTGACTTGATCAAGTATTTGAGTGTCAAGCTGTGCCTAGAACTCGACTTTGCCAAAAGTTTCAAACTTTTGCTAACAATAAAATTAACAACGCATAATAGGTATCTGGTTTGTGTCACCATTCTAGATATTTTGATATTACTCATTTTCAAACCCCAAAAATAATGTTGATCATCTAACTTAGTTTTGCCAAAAATTTATCTAAATCCTTAATTTATCCATTTATTTATATGTATAATATTGGGGTTTCAGAATTAATATCTGGGCTTATGATTTTGAATAAAATAAATTAATTTTATTATAGCAAAAAACTTATAATTTTATAATGTGAACTTATACATTGCGTAAAAACTATCGCAGATTTGCTAAAAAGTATTTCATCATTATTAAACTGAAAGTATTTTGGCATTATTAAATTTTTTGAAATTTTAACACATATATAAAAAATCAATTCCAAGATACTTTTTGGAAATGGCACAATAATTTCTACACCCTATGAGCACATTTACGGAATTACTATTAAAAATGGGAAAATTTTTAACAGTGAATAACCTTTTAATCACTGGTCTGATTTGGATGAGCTTACTCAAAATGATTATCTCAATGAGACGATTCTAACGATCCCAGAATCTTTAAAATCCAATAACAGAATCAGAGTTATTTAAAAAGTTGTAAAATAAGATAGGTTAAATCGGTCCAATTTTACCTGAAGTAAACAAAGCTCCAAATATTTCCAGAGCTCGTGATTTGATTTTAAATATTTTGGATCATTAGAATCGTCTCATTGAGACGGTCATTATAAGTTAAATTCATCCAAACGGACCTGTGAATAAAAAGTTATTCATTTATCATTTTTAATAGTAATTCCGTAAATCTTTCCAACGACTTTAAAAGTTATAACGCAAATAGAACCTTAAATCTCCATAAGTTAATTCTAAAACTCCCTAATACTAAAATTTCAACTAAGCGGAGAAGCCGCTCACATCTGCTTTTTCTAGTTGATCATGGGCCTTAAAAGGTGTTGGATTTTCATCCAATTATATGCTAATTTTTTCTTGGCTCGGAATGCTTGTGCTGTTCTCATTCTGCATGCTCTCATTCTGGATCTTCAATTTTTGAAAATTCTATGAAATTCGTTGATATTAAATACCATTAATAAGTAATAATGTTTGTCACAAGAATGTTCCACAAAGTTCTCATGATCGATGATTCGTTCGATTTGAATTAGAAGCTAGGGAAGAATTCTCTGTCATCATACCACATGTAACACACAGCTAAACTAGCTTAATAAAGAAATTTCGTCCGATGCGATAAATATAGAAATATTCCTCTATACAGATATACGTATTTCAACCTTTGTAAAATGTAAAATAAAGTGACTTTCTTGTATTTTAATTCACAGTATTTCTATTATTTAAAAATATTTATATAGAGAATTCTTTTGGACTTTTGACTTTTCATTTTTACTTCAATTATTAAAAGATTTTTAGATTCTACTTTAACTTAAAACTCAATCATGCAACTTGAAGAAACTGAATTGGTTAATGTGGATACTAAATCAAGTTCACGTAATTACTTTTTTGTGTTAAACTTAATAGAGTTACAATAACTAATAAACACTCATTAATGAATTTATTTATTTCAGTCATTCCGTTTATTCATGTCAATGAATATGATGAAACTATAGATCCATCCAAATATAAAAATGATGCATATGAACATGTAAATAAATTAGTTCGTAATTTTATCAACAATTATAATTTGAATGGTGGATTGATTCTTAGCACGAAAGGATTAAGACATGGAAACAAGAAATCTTTCGATTTTAACCAGCTTTATGTAAAAGATCATTCTTTTAATTTTAACCAAGTACATTTTATACCAAAACTTTTAATATGTGAGAAAAAGAATGACTCTTACTTCGCTGAAAATCATATTGATATGACTTCTGAAAGTGATATACCAATGGAATGGTGCACAATAATTGATCATACCAAAGATTCAGTAGTTCATCCTTTATTTGATAACAAACAAAAGGAAGAAATTTATTTTACTATCACATATCAAAGAGTTGATTTATTTTTTAAAAAGGAGTATATTAGACTATCAGATGAATTTGGGAATATGGTGGACGATGCTTTAAAAGAAACTGACCCACATTCAGCTTTAATAAATATATTTTTTACCTTTGGCAATTTCTTTGCTAAAAAAATTACTCTTGGTCATAAATTATTTAAACACATTGATAAAGATTGGTATGAATCTATTAAAGAAAAACAATTTAATGATTATATCGGAGTAGATAAACTACAAGACTTGATTAAGGAAATGGATTATGATGGTAAAGGTTTCTTAACAGTTAATGGCGAAATTATTAATCAAGAGAATCTTAATAGTTGGATTGAATTATGTAAAAATGATTCTAATCTTCAAATCATAAAGCGTGGTGACTTGGTGGCAGTTTATGAAATCTTAGAAGATTGTATTCATGATGAAGTTAAATCAATTCTTGGAATTCGCGAACATCAATATTTGAAACCGAGAGAAATCTATCAGGAACATTTGAAATTACCAAAAGTTAAATATCAAGTAATAATGACTGGTTGTGAAAAGATACAATCATCTGTAGTATATCACCGTATTACATTTCCAAAAAGATTAGAAAATAGCGATTTTTTACTTTATGGAAGTATCACTAATGAATCGGGGGAACAAATCGATAATATGATTATTAAATTTAGATTAATCAATTATTATGGGTTTTCCGTGACTATTGAAAATTTTACTGGATATGAGTAAGTATTTTTATAACGAATTTAAGCTATCTGATTTTTATTTTTTCTTTAAATTTCAAGATTTAATAATTTTTAAATTTTAGGATGAATAAGTTTGGTGATCAACTAAACATTAATTGGATGCTAGTGGGAGATCCAGATGTGATCAATTATAGAAATCCATATGTTCAAAATTATTTTGTTGCAAAAGTTGGTACTAAAATATTTAATAACAAAGATCTTGAAAGTTTAATCATTGAATTACCTCAACCACTTAAAAATGTGAAGAATGCAAAATTCGCCTGTACGTTTAACTATTCATCTGATGATGGTCCATCATTTTCAGCATCTATAGAATCTGTTGATAAAAACGGAATCCGATTACATATAAAGGACTATAATAAAATTAAATCACATTTAACATCAACTTTCGATGAATATATAATGCACTGGTGTATCTATTTTATTCCGCTCAAAAAAATCACTATTGGACAAGTTATACCTGTGAACCAATCTTTAGATAAAATTCCAAGATTTTTAAGAACAAAATCTTCAAAACAAGTCCCTGGCCTAAGAAACAAGTATAAATTCTTATATTAAATCGAAATTTTATAATAATTCAAAAATACATTCTAATCTTAACAATATTTTCGGTATTAGTGTCTATGAAGCTATTAGTGCATTTAGGGCCATACTTCCTTGGTTTGATGCATTAAATATAATGCTCGAAAAGATTTCGAAAGCGTATGAAGAAGCTGAATATAATCGAAAGACTTGTCGCGTCTTAACTGATCGTGCTGATGATGTTTTGACTGCGGTTAAAATATTATTTAGAAGGAGAGAAGAAGAAGAAGATAAATTTCTTGATGATTATTATGTTAAATCATTTATTAAGCTTCACAGGGTTTTCAGAGATATAAAAGACTTTATTGGTAATATTTCTCAACTTAAAGGGCTTTCAAAATTTGTATCTGCTGAAGATATAAGGAAAAGATGTATATTTCTCATGAATGAATTAGAATCATCTTGTCTTGATTTAAATTTAACAACAATATCGGTAGAAGACAAACGCATTGTACAAAAAAGTTTAATGGAAGACGTAGATACAATGACTGAGGTGTGAATGTGAATTTTTTTCATAATATTTTATTATATATATATATATATACTTAATAAAATTTTCATTTTAGTTTTTTGAAACGATTAAAGGTGGTGTTATACAGGACGATATAAAAGACATACGTTATAAAAAAGAGGTGGTGATACCAAGAGCACCTAGAATGCCTAGTAAAGTTTTTGATGAAGTTGCAGAAATAAAAAGGAAAATGGAAAGAAAAGAGATTACATTAAATGCGCCTCAAATTAATCCAAGTTCGTTACAGGAGGATGAAAGATGGATACAAAAAGATGGATGCAGAGTATTCAAACGTTTATTAAACGGGAAGGTAGAGGTTGCTTGCAAGCGTATCAAAATTCCAGATTCCGGATCACAAATGTTTAATACGCGATTTGCCATTTTAAAACGGTTAAAAGTATCTGATAAAATAATTAAATTTCATGGACTTGCTAAATATAGTGATCATTACCTTGTTGTATTTGATTGGGCAGAGTGTGGCAATTTAAAAGAAGTTTACGAAAGAAAAAAATTAGAAAATAATAGATTCTTATGGGAAGATAAGGTCAAAATTGGTCTTGATATTTGTAATGGTCTTACATTTTTACAAGGATGTAATATTTTTCATTATGATATCCGCTGTGAAAATATTTTGGTAAGTAGTTCAAAAACATTACACACATATGTATTATAGTATGATTAATTTAAATGCTGCAATTTATTAGATTTCTGGTAAAGATAAGAATTATAACGCAAAACTTGCAAAGTTCGATCTTAGTCGACATGCAAACCATATAAGCACCAAAATTAAAAGTATTGATGAAGTTATACGTTGGTTGGCACCTGAAATGATGACTTCTGATTTGAGTCCTGAAAAAGGAAGTTATACATTTAAATGTGAAGTGTTTAGGTATGTAAAAAGGATATATAATTTATAATTTTACTTATGTACTTGTCATAACATAATAAAATAAGGAATCATTCTGAATAGTTATGGTATGCTTCTATGGGAACTCGCTTTTCAAGAAATACCTTACAAAGAAATGGACGCCATAAATATATGTAACTACGTAAAGTTTGGCAAAAGGGAGCATCTTAACTTTGACAATAATAGTCCTAGATGTATTGTTGCTGGATTTTCGAGAATTATTCAGACTGGTAAGTAATTAAATTTTTGATAGCAAAAATTTATTATTTAATATTTTTTAATTTGGTATATTAACATCATCTTTACTAGCATGGACACACGAACCTGCCGAACGACCATGCATCAATACTTTTAATGCTGAACTCAATAAATTGAGTCTATTACTTAAAAATAATGATATAGATCTTGATGAAAAGTCACATCTGACTGTAAATAGTGATATACTACCACTTATTCTGTCTTTGGATGATGGCATTGAAGCGCATAACAAAAACAACGTAGATATAGCGTGGGAATGTTTTAATATTCATGCTGATCTTGGAGATTATACCGCTAAATATTGGAAAGGCTTATATTTAAAAGAAGGTTATTATAAAGGTGAAAAAAATTTAACAGAAGCAATAAAACTTTTTAAGGAAGCAGCTGATGAAAATGTACCAGAAGCACAACTTCATTATGCATTGGAGATAATAAATATTGATGAGCATGAATATATAAAATATTTAAGAAAATCTGCTGCTAATGGTAACCCTACAGCTTTATTCTATTACGGCGTTTTAACCTTGGATGGAAAATACGTAGAGAAAGATGAGAATATAGGAATACAGTATTTAGAGTTGGCTACTGCGAAAGGTCAAAAACAAGCAATTGATGAACTTAAAAAACGCAATATTGACTTTGGTAAGTTCATATATCATTACTTTGTGTTATGATACTTTCAATTTTACTAATAATATTTTCAATTCGCATAGCATTGTATAAATAGTGATAAATAAATCTAATGTAATAATATGCTCACTTTATGTCAAGAATTGTATTTAAGTTGTATTATCATATTTAATTTAAGGTGGATTAATTTCCTCTTGCTGTCAAAGCATTTAAGCCTTCAAAGAAAAGTTTTCTATACATAAGCATATATGCAATTTTTCCCGATACATTTCGGATACTGCTCAATTATACAGTATATAGCAAATATAGAAAAATATCTTAAGATCAATTCAAATAAAATAAAAATTAAATTCCTTAAAGAATTAGCCGAGAACGTCATATCTTCATCCTCTATTCTTGATTCTCGTTATAACCAGTGATGTGCATGGGAACATTTTGGATTTTCATCATTCTGGCCCGCATTAGCGCGAGATACCATAATGCGGGCCATAATTATATGCACATGAAATTTGAAAAATGCTAATTTGCACATCACTGTTCAGTTAGGCTAAAATTCCATTTGTGTAAATTCAAAAATGTTATATAGTATAAGAACTATTAGCAAGCTCCTATTATGAGGGTAAAATGTATAATTACGATAAGGACATGCAAAATTAATAATTGTGTCGGAAATCGAAGAATCTGACGATTCGGTTGGAGAATTCTAGAAATCTCGTAATATGGTGACCTGCATTTGATCATCCCTTTTTTTCAGCTGTCTTCAAAAACGATACTCATGAGTGCTGCCAAGAGAAATGGGACTTTAGGCCCCTGATTACGTAATGCAAAATATATTAAATCAATACCCTATGTGGAAAATCGAATAATTAGAGCCGATTGGGTTTTGGAAATTCTGGAAATCTGGATTCCTGTGACCATGCGCATGAAATGAAGATCTCCATGGGAAATTCACAAGGTTTCCAAGATTTCCGGAATTTTCTTTCCAGATTCTTCAATTTTCCATATATGTAGGTATATGGAAATAATCGTCCACATCTTTTGAAAACAGCTGTAAATTAGCTATAAAAGTGTATGACTGATTTTTTTATACTCCTTGGGAAATCAAACAGTTTGAAACTCCGATTACAGCTATTTTCAAAAAGATATGGATGACGATTTTCATAAACTATTTCGAAATCGAAATCGAAGAATTGGGAACCTCCACAGATCATCAAACAGTGGAAATTAGGCGATTTACCTATTTTCGTGAGAATACAACCCATGCCCCTATCGTTATATCAAGAAAATAGGGCCGTAAACCACTTCCAACCTGGCTCCGAAGGTCAACCTTTCGCATAACTAAATTAAAGTTTTTTTTAAAAAAAAATTTCAAGAAAGATATCTCTATAACCGTCTAACCGAATTTGATGAAATTTTTTTTACTTTTCTACATATGTAGGATTAAATAAAAAAATTTTCATCAAATTCAGTTAAGGTTACGGAATTATCTTCAGATAAAATGTCAGAACATTAACATAACTTTAAATTTTGTACCAATACAGGTTTTGAATTTTTTTTTAAACTTCAAATGAAAATATTCGTTATTATACCCAATAAAAAAAATGGTCTAGGAGGCAAGGGAAATACATCTAAAGGCACGGAAAGTCGTGGCACGGTTTAGGATCCGTGGTTTCACATATTTATTCCGGATCGGCTCGGATTTGCTGGTCCGTATTGAACCGGTTCACCGTGCAAGTATTGATGACGTAAATTCACGGACCTCTCTCCAATAGTCGAAATGAACTCGGTAGTATTTAGAACGCGGTTATATCTCCCTATTGTAAAATTTTGCAAGGAATTTTTTTTTGTTAAGACACAAGGTGCAGTTTCATAGGTAAAAATTTGAGATACATGCGTTTTTTTAAAAAAAAATCGGTTTTTTGATTTTCACGTTACACATGATCCTTCGCTCTTATTGGCAAAACAAATTGAAGACGTAAACAAATACGTGCCATTCCGTGCAATGTTCTAATACGTTTCACTATGACGTAACTATACGTATCACCGCAAGGTGTGCCAATATGTGTCAACTCATGCCATTCCGTAAAACGTACATGTACGCATCACGATAACGTGACTTTCCATTCACATCTAGGGATGGGTTCGGTCACGAACGGTCATAATCATTCATAGTCAATTTGCTAACTACTGAGATGATTTTTTGCTTTTGAGCTTTTAATTAAAGTTGTTCAGAATTTAATTCTGAACAACATTAATTAAAAGCTCAAAAGTAAAAAATCATCTCAGTAGTTAGCCATTTTTTTTACAGGGATAGATATTGTGAGCCGCAGGACTGTAATCCCGGAAGGAGGTAATCGAAGTAGCATAGAATGGGTATTATACGTTGTATAAGTTGTAAACGTCGTATCGGCTCTTTAAGGGATATCAGCGGAAATCAGTGGGATAAGGGTATAATTATAATAATCAGTATAAACATTATAACTAGTATATGCAGGATAATTAATAGAAGTGATATATCGCGAATAAAGTGTATAATGTGCCCTGTGTAAGAGAAAGTATATAATAAAGGCTTCGAGCCATATGAAGAAAACATTCATAGTTCGTGATCAATAACATTCGTCTCATAATGATTCCCTGCTTTCGCTACATCATAATAATACCTACGATAATAAATTCCCCACTCGACAAATATAACACACCTTTTCGACTAAGCCGATTCGTAGGTTACACGACGTATCCGATTTTGGAGCGACCGACACACTGTTCGACGTTGTCAATCTATTGTGAGGTCCGAAAACGTGCTGATATCACGTGGCGTAGATCTCGAATGTCAGAAATGTCAAGTCAGGTATGTCAGGTATATCAAATATATCTGATATATCTGATATATCTGATATATCGCATAAGTGTGATATATGTGATATATGTGATAAATTAGATATGTTCGATATACTAAACAAGTCCATAATGTAAATAGACAATTTATTATAAATAAAAGGCAATTCGTCCAGGCAAAAGGTCAGAGATTCCAACTGCGAAACATAAACTACCTACCTGACCCATAATTAAAGTAAAAGTATTGTCCCATAAAAGCCCTGTAATATTGACAAATCTTGGTACTAACATTACCCTCCCAAGAACAACCAAACCTGAAATTGAGCACTCATCATAGTTACATGTCCAGTTAACTGTAATGAAAGAAAAGAGTTCCAATTCTGATTCAACATAGTAAAATTCATTTGAGACAATAAAGAAGATAAGAATTAGAACAAGAGTAGGTTAAAGGAAGACTCAACAGAAAAGAGACCAGTACTTATTTACAAACAATAATCTACTCACCAAATCTAACACACCTGTTTCAACTTAACTGCTATAGGAAACACAAGAGTTGGCTTAGTTTAGCAACAGACTTGTCAATTTCTGAGATGACAATATATATAGAATTAAACAAAAAATTTCATTTAATATAGTGTTGTGTTCGGAAGTTTGCGACTCTGTCACTCCACAATTCAAAATCTCGTGTAATGTATGATAAGTAACCTTTTCGAAAGAGGGTGTTAGATTTGGCTTGTGGGCGAGAAAGGCTTTCGGTCACTTTGGGTCAACGAATGCAAGTATGGTAAGTCACATGTACAAGGGCTTGAACAGCGACGTTTACAGAAGTTTACAGGGTTTGTAATGGTAATTAGTGTTAGTGTTTATTAAGTACAATGTAGGATATTGGGATTTATTGTTTTTAATAAAGCAAAAATGAAGCGTACTGCTCCAAAGAGCCATTTCGGCCTTTATTTATTATATAAAATTCGTCGCTTACAAATGCAACATATCTATTAAAACTAATTAATCTATTTACACGTATTTATTTAATATCTGTTATTTCCTCCTTTTATCCCTTTTCTACCCCTTCGGATCCGAAATACCGTTTCCGATCTTAAATGTAATTTATTACACTTATTATATTTATTGCACTTATTGCATTTCGTGCATTTTTCATGTGATCGGTCACGATATTTGGTATCACATTTTCCGGTATCACAATAGTTAAGTAGTTGCCAAAATATCTTCATTTCAAGTTATCAATAACAAAAATTTAATTAAAAATTTATAATTTTTATAAGTTTATAATTAAAAAAACAATATTGAAAATAATATTGAAAACTAGCATTAAACCAATATTGACCAACTTTAAGTCAATGTTTACTTAACCTTAAAACCAACATCTATCTTAATGTTTATTCTAATAGTAAAATCAATATTAAGATCAACAGTTATGTTAACTTTGAAGCCAACTTTGAAGTAATATTAAAATTAATATTAGATGGTATTTAACTGATCAAGTGTATTTATCATTCCAATTAACAAAAAATGAAGATTCAGATATTCTTTTTTCATGTAGTAGCATTTATTGGCTAATTTATTAGAAAAATTAGTTGTTCAATTACTTTTTCTTTTGTATAATAGATCTTCAAAATTATTACTAATAATGAATTATTATTATTATTACTTTATTGATATTACAGAAATATATATATTTTTTTTCAGTATTAAGATGAGGTCATGCCCTCTAGTCTTTAGTAGTATATTTGTTATAGCTAGTACAAATCTATTATACATCGTCTATTACTATATATCTATTCAGACATAGAACTCAGACATATTTATCTGTAACCTAAACCTTCCAGAGTTTTGTATTGTGTCCCACTCACACCTAATCTGGATTTTTGTTTCACTACTAATTATATTAGGTAATCTACATATTCATCCCATGTCTTACAACCTATTTTTATAACTCCCAAATTGGTCCATCAGGTCGTTCACTCCTTTTGAGCTACTATCTTTGGTTTGCCTAAAGAGTGCCTCTCTAGCATGTATCTCAAGCCAGGTTCCTGCTGCCACTGCTAACTTCCCAATTCAGATACTGGTAATACATATTTCAAGCCAGGTTCCTGCTGCTACTGCTAACTTCTCAATTCAGATTCTGGTAACACATATCTCAAGCCAGGTTCTTGCTGCCATTGCTGGTTTGTAACTCTTCTTGGTTTTAGCGTTATTTCCAATAGATTGTGTATCTAACCTGCCCCTTAAGTACTTCCTTTTATGGTATAGATGGAACTCTATTTTGGGAATGAGTACACATCTTCATCCAGCCATTGATCGACATTTCTACTACTGTCACACCATGTTGCAGGTTTTTCTTTATTCTGTTTCCAACTGCGGGCAATCTCCCTGCCTTTTTAAGAACATTCTAGCCCAAATCTACATTTAGACTAAGGTGTCCACATCATGTTCGAGTAGGTTTTTATTTCCAATTTAGGTATCTCAACCATGATTGGTACAGCATTTATGTTGGTATGTTCCATTTGTTTTGCCATAGGCTTCTATATAGGTGTGATCAGAGCTCTGGTTTGGAACCTTTAGATGTACAGGACAGGCTACAACTTCTCTATGCAGATGGTTACCTTCTATTCTTAGTCATTCCACAGCGCCAGAGGTGCTTCTAATCTTGATAAGGCTAATTCTTTGTCACAAACCTTCTATGCATGCACTGCTTCTCTCACCACTCCAGTTCGTGTTATCTTGGTATCACCCTTTCAATTAAGTACTTCACAAGTTGGATGCAGAGATGTTGGTACTGCCCTGTTTCTAGAGGACTTACATGTGCAACCCTTTGCATAATGGAGCTTTCTGTAATGCTGCTGTTACATAT